CCCGCCCCCGCAGCAGCAGCAGCCCCCGCAGCCGCCACAGCCCCCGCCGCCGCCCTACCCACAGGTATGTGCCGCACACATACACACAACACTACACATTTCATTTTATTTACATTTAAATATAATTCACAAAATTAAATAAATAAAATATAGAGATTTTTAAGTCTCAATTATAATAAATTGTAAAATTTAAAATAAATATTCATCATTTTTTTTATTTGTTTTTCAAACTATACGTAACTTAAAATGACATCACAAAACATCATCATTATATAACATTTAAATATATGAAATCATTACAAACATGTTGATGGTAACAATGTCGTGCATGTAGTAATTTTTCCGATATCCGTGTTATATATGGTATTAATTTTGAAGTATTGTTCAAAATTAGTTCATATGCTTTAAATGTAATGTTGACGCAAGGGAGCACATTTATAAATTAATATTCATCACCAATATTTTAACATTTATTAATTAAAGATTAAAGACCTCATTGTAAAAGATTAACATCAACTGATACCAGGAATTTATTTCTCGTTACGTCGTCTATTAAATACCGTATTTAATTGTTTATGTCATAATTATTGTCAAATCTAATATAAATGATAAATGTGATCCTATATTTCATAATTTAATTCGCTTAATTCGATCGCATCGCAGTAAAAGCAAACTGTAAAATGCGTAGCAATATCCACAGCAATATTAATTCTAATCATACATTGGCTATCAAAGAGGTGGCGGAGATCCATTACGAATGTATATACAGAAGCTAATTGTAACGAGCTCGCTTCATGTGCAAATTGAAGGACTAATATTGCATGGGTACGACATGCTGTTGCCTCGCTTTTATAAGGGTTTTTTTTAATTCCTAAACATTTTATTCTTATTTATTATTTAAAAAAAAGACATTTGTTATATTTGAGTCATATTTAAAAAAGTTGTTTCGGGTTGCGATAAATTAAAAAAAAAAGCTCTTGTATGTATCGCGCGAGGCGAGGCGAGGCGAGGCGAGTCGTAGGCGTTGTGTTGAGGAGGTCGTGCAGGCGAGTACAGGCGTGTTGTTTGCATGTCGGTGATCGGTTGTCGGCGTACAGGCGCCGTATGACGCGGAGGCGTGGGGCGACTGGCTGCATCGCCGCCCGCTGCTGCTGCAGGTCAGAACGCGACCGCCACCACCACCCGCACCCACCACACCCACCACATCCAACACATGGAACCCCCACCTAAACCCCAACCCCCTCTACCTTCCACACGTACCGCGTTTTGTTCAGATGACTTCAGTTTAAAAAAAATCAGTATTTTGTAATCTTCTTAATATGTGCTATATTTCGGGTACAAAATATCATATGTTTAGTCTTATATTCTGCGTGAATGTGGTCATTAAAATTTAGGCTCATTTACTTGTACATTTCAGAGTAAATTCTTAAAGTTATTCCATAAATCTTATTCTTTATTGTTCTATACGGAATGTTTCTTTATCTTTACGTTTACGCGGGTTTTACTTACGAATTGTTATCTTATCCAATTTCCTTTACTTTCAACATTTCTTATAGTTTCCAGTCAAAGATTTGTTATTTATGACTTCTCTCTTCCTCAAACATCCTCCCTTTTCTACACCTTAGTTCCTCGAAGCACAAGGCAATCTATTAGTAGCCTTGTCACAGCTGATCACCTGTTGTGCTTTATCTCTGCTTGTATTGTGCACGCATGCGTACTGACTAACCTTTTAAACCTTTTCAGCAACTTTCCTAATACAAAAATAACCTTTAATTAAATAGTACCAGCACTAAACATACTAACGTATGCAATCGAAGTTACCTTAATGTTCATTCAGCTTCAAATGTCAATTGCCTGTCTCATCTATGTTCTCGTGTCACGTGGTGGAGGAAAGTGTGTGTGTTTGAAAGCATTGTTTTGGAAGGAAAATGTTATTTAGCATAGTTAAGTAACAGTTGTATGTTCCGGTTACCATTCACCTTGTTGTATGCTAAATAAAATGTAAATTAAATAAAGATGAAATGTAATATTGTAAAGAAGAATTTCAATGTTTGCATCGAATAGGCTCAGTAACTATTGAACCGATTTTAAAACAACTTTCATTGTTCAGGCTATATTTATTACTAGATCTTAATCTCATCGGACGAAATCGCGGGCAACTGCTGGTGTATTAATAAAATTAAAAGTGTTAGAATTCAATAAAAATCACAATTAAAAAATTCAAAACAAATCGTCTAGTTTATTCACAATAAAAAGTTCCACAATGCATACAATGTTCAAAAGTTAGTAATTGGCACTATTTAGCTCTTATCTATTTAGCTTACTTTGCACTCTACGTTTTCGTTAATTTTCTGTTATTATTACAAATATCTTAGTAGTGCTACACTTAAATTTTTCTAATTGTGTCCTTATTTAAAACACTTTTGTCGTAATATACAATTTAAGGTATTTACATAATCATTACCAGTTATTTCATAACGGTATAAAAGTTAGTTTACAAAACACGATACAATTTTCTGACAAGATGAGATGGGTACATTGTCTAAAATAAAAAAAAATCCTATAATAAAAAATTCAACCTGTATGAACCTGCGTATCATATCATACGCGACCTAATCGTACGCAACCGGCGACAAAGTCAACGGTGGCGGGTGACGTCACTCCAAGAGCAAAGTCACCAGAGCAAAATTTAACCGTCAGAACGTAAACCAGGAGCAACCGTTGCTTCTGGAGGAGCTACTGGAGCAGGAAAAGAGGGAACAAGAACGGGAGGGCGGGGAGTGGTCAGGCGCGGGGCCGGGCGGGCCGGGCGCCACGGCGGCGGTGGGCGCGGGCGTGGGCGGAGTCAGCGGAGTGGGCGGCGTCAGCAGCGTGGCGCCTCCTCCCGCGCCGCCCACCGTCGCGCTGTTCTCCGTGCCGCCGCCGCCGGCGCCCCCCGCGCCGCCCGAGCGCCCGCTCACCGAGGCCGACCACCACGCGCGCCTGCTCTACGAGCAATGGCTCGACCAGTACAACGCCTTCGCCGTCGACCAGCTGCGTTACTACGAGACCGAGGTCCAGAAGCTGCGCAAGACCCGCAAGGTGAGCCCCGTAGCTGCTTCCGTGTTCGTGTGCTTACAGTAGTAGCGTGTTACACTCCTCCCGTGTTTCTTAACTCTTACCCGCAGGTCGTGTATCATTTGGGATGACAGTATATTTAGCACTGTGACTAACTTGGGAACTCGTAGTGCACCTCGCACTCGTGTTGTATCTCACACAACGTTTCTATAAGTGTGCTTTACTTGCAGTCGCTGAACAGCAAACAGCGTCAGTTACGGAAGTCGGGCAACGAGCTAATGCCTAACGACGCAGCCGCGCTGCAGCAGGTCTCCACGCAGCAACAGGCCTTACAGAAGCACCTCGAATCTGCGAGGAAGCAAGCCAGGCAGCACAGCACTCTTATTCAGGTTGGGATTCATTTTAATTTTCTTTTGAAAGTTAAATAATATCAACAATATAAGTTATCTTAATATCGTTTTATAATTTTAGGAATACCAAACTAAACATCGCCAACAAAATCCTCAACTGGCACAACAAACGATCGTAAACTCGCAACAGATATCGAGCAACCAGGGTGTCTTTACTCAGAATCAAAATGTGGGACAAAATTCACAGTTGCAGCAGACAACTATTAACCGTCCGATGCAGATCGGTCTACAGGGAGCGCCCTCGCAGCAGCAGCAACAGCAGCAGACGCTTATACGAACCCAACAATCCGTGTTAAATTCTGACGGGCAACCGATCTCGCAGCAAAGAATAGGTTTAGTAACCTCACCGCTAAATGCACAAGGTAGAATCCTCCAAGGCGGTCGAACACTTGTCATTGAGCAAGCTGGTGCGCCGCAGCAGCAACTAGTGAGACAACTCTCCGGCGTCCAAGAGAGGCCTCAGTCCGTCGGGGGCATGGTGCAATTCAGTCAGCAGCAGCTGTCAGGAGTTAGAGGATCGATGCCGGCGGGAAATCAAATGCCGCGGCAGCCTGGTTCGCGGCCCGCCATGTCTCCTCTGCACGTGCAGTCGCCACATTCGCAGTCTCCGCTGCATTCCTTGGCGCCGCAGTCCCCGCTGCATCACCTTACCTCACCGATGCAATCGCCGCTACATTCGCAGCAGTCACCATTGCATCATACCTCGCAGTCCCCGCTGCATCAGTCGACGCAATCTCCGCTTCACACGCAACAGTCGCCGCTTCATTCGCAACAATCTCCGATGCATGCACAGCAAACGCAAAACATGCCACAGCAGTCGCCCATGCATCCCCAGCAGTCTCCGATGCATCCACAGCAATCGCCGATTCATCAGTCGCCGCTGCACACCCAGCAGCAGTTATCGGCGCAACATTCGCCGATGCATCCACAACAGAGTCCGATGCATCCGCAGCAGAGTCCCATGCATCCGCAGCAGAGCCCGATGCACCCTCAGCAAAGTCCGATGCATCCGCAACAAAGCCCGATGCACTCGCAGCAGAGTCCAATGCACATCCAACAGTCGCCGTTACACACGCAACAATCACCAATGCAGTCATCGATGTCACCACAACATTTTCTTCAACAATTGCAAGCGCAAAGAACTAGCCCTCAATTACCAACGCCCAGCCGCAGTCCGCAGGTTTTTATATTTTATAAATAATTTTTAAAATATTATACTACTAAAAGTACATCATATTTTTGTCGTGATTTCAAGCCTATTCAACTTCCAAAGAAATTCTTATGCTCTCTTATTTTGGTTACTTTATTAATTACAGATTTATCAACAATCACAAATACAAAGCCCTGTAGCTTCGCACTCGCCTCAACTTCAAAATGTAAGTAATATTATTTCAACAAAATAAAGCAACAACTTTTTCAGTATTATTAATGTTTTATTTATTTTTAGAATGAATATGCTACGGGAAGATTTTCGAGACCCGCCCCTGGATGCTCTCCTTTGCCAACACGGTTTGCAAGACCACCCCATCATCAACAAGGTAACCATATATAAGCAAATAAAAATAGTATTTCTACACTAAACCATGACTCTTACATGTTAAATACGTTTTTCTAGGTATGAGGGTCGGGGTACCCTTTGGAAGTCGTCAACAAACATCACCGCTCGGCAGTCCGCAACCGTTGCCATCTCCAGGCAACACAGCTAACGAAATGGCCGTGAGTTCTATAAGTATTTCTAAGTGCATACAATAGTGAAAGTGAAATATGCTGCATTTTTCGTGGCTCAAGTTATGTCATCGTCCAATGCTTCACACAAGAAGAAAAATTTAAAATTAAACCACAACCATGAATTAGTGATCTGCATTACTTATAGTATTATGTATTCCAGCGCCAACAACTGCTCCAGAGGCAGCAGTACAGTCCGATGGGCGGCGCCCCGTCGTCTCCGTCGCTGTCGCGGTCGCCGCACGTGGCGCGCACGCCCACGCCCTCCGCCTCGCCCGCCGCCTCCCCGGCGCCCACGCACCAGGAGCACGGCGGCGGACATCATCATCACATGGCGCCCCACGACCAGCGGGGCGGGGGGCGCCCGCACAATGTGGCGCCCCTTCCGCCCGGATATAGATACTTCAAAATCGGTCTCTTTGGAGGCGCTCCCGTTTGGCCCAAAGATGACGATAGGCGACCACCCTCCCACTTGAATAAAGTATCGATACTCAAAAGGCGGACTCCTCCACGGCCGCGTTTCGCTGGTAAAACTGCTGCTCCGAGCGAAAGGCCGGAAGAAATCGGTGAAACTAGTGATGGACGAAAATTTGTAGTTTTTTCCACCGACGCGGTGGAATATGCAACGGCTTCCGATGATGCGGCGCGTATGAGTTTTGCTAAAGATGATAACGACGATGATGTCGAGGAATTTGTTGAACATCTGGACGATGATGACATAGTTGTCGTAGAACCCGGAGCGATATCGCCGGAGGAGCGCATCGCCACCGAGGAGGATTTTGAGGAGTTGATAGATAGCGGTAAACCCGAAGATGAAATGGACGAGGACACGTCCCATCAGGACAAGTGTTTAACTAGAACTGAAACTACTACAAAAACTGTCGCCGTAATCAGTCTCGCTACTGCGAAGCAGCCCTCGACGAGTGTTCCGCAGTATAAGATAGTCAATACGTCACAGAGCTCAGCGCTCTCCCGGCTGCCGGTGCTCAATGCCACCATTTTATCTCAACATGCTAATACAAAAATTATAAACGAATCACAAGCTACAGTTGCATCGGTTTCCATTGCTAATCAAACTATTTCTGTACCAGTTTTGAAGAATCTCGCAGTGCCTATTGCCAGTGTAACTGGTCACGCCGGTGGACCCAAACCTCAAATAAAGAAAGTCCCTCTTAATCTCACAAATCCACCACTAACTGTAAATATGTCATCTCAACCTCTTTCTAAGCCAATCAGTTCCGTAATAAGTGTTATATCTTCGAACGTACCTAAAGTATCCAATTTAAATCCTGTGATCAGTCTCGCAACTTCCAACACTGGTGCATCCAGACTACCAGTGTCGATTTTAACACAACATCAAGTAAAACAAAAAATTGTGAAAACTATTGAAAAACCGATTGCATTGTCACTCTCTAACACCAAACTATCCAGCTTATCAGTAACACATGACGTTACACTGCCAGCTAAAATATTCCAAGACGATGCAGCATCCCCCGATAGCACTGTTTCTGCTGAAAATAGTGAATCACAAAATCCTACTACTTCAGTGTCTTTGCTGAGCTTAACATCCCATGGACCTCAAAAAGATCATAAACCTTTAGCTATCATGAAAGATTCAAGCAAAGACATTGACATCGAGACAGAAATAAGCCAGCAGACTGAATTACCTCACACACTTTGTATCACTGATAGAACACCACTTATTTTGGCAAAGGCAGATATAAAGAGTCCTGATCCGATTCCAGAAAAAATTCCCGATAATATTATGGAAGGTGACGATGAAGACAAGCCCGAGGACAATTTACAGAGCAACTTATTGCTATCATACAATAATACTTTTATACAAAATCCATCAAGTGAGGTTAAACAAGATGAAAGTGTTGTTAAAACCATAAAAGCTATAGCAAACCAAACTAAAGAAATGGTTATCGACTCGAACATGCAAATAACATCTGATATGGCGCAAGAATCTGTTCAGATATCGATTCCTTCGCCAACACCGTCACAAGAGCGCTACCTTAATGATATAACTATGCGAGAACATTCCGAAGCGGTCGAAGGAAACACAAAACGTGTTGAAACCTTAGAAGATATGCTTTGTATATATGAAAACAGAACTGAGGAGGAGAAAACCTATGAAATAAAACAAACAAGCCAACAGCATAATGTGCATTTCAATGTCCCAAATCAAAATACAAACATTAATAAAACACCGACGAAACAAGACAACAAAGAAGTTCAAGAGCCATCAGTTTTATTAAAACGTGAACAAGAGAAATTGAGTCTGCAGTCAACCAGCGTGCCGCAGTTGTCGCCGTTATCACAGCCGGCAGAGTTAACTTCGAATATGGCTAATGTTTCACAACAGCTACGTACTATTATGTCTTCATTGAATACAAACTCGTCGAAATTAGAACCTCAGAGTATTTCTAGCATGAGAAAAAATAGCGATGCTACCACCCCAACACAAGTGAACTTTGAAAATTTGTTACCGTCTTCTAAGGTAGAAGTGACCACTTCACGTCCTTCTCCTATTCAAAGAATCGAGAAGCCGCAGTCATCAATTCATAGTTCAGAAAGTATGCCAATTAGTGCGGCGCAAATGGTGGGCTCGCGTGTAAACACTTTGTCGACTATAGGGCAGATAAGAAGATCTCCCACTGTGTCACCAATAAATTCCCCCATACAAAATACATTAATGAAATCCCCTGCGCAGCCCACTCTCATATCGAATCAAGCTTTCACGCAAAGTGAAGATGTTATTGTTGCTACTGTGGCATCACAAGTAATCCAAATGCCAGCTCTTTCAAAAATACATAGTAATTCGTCGGCACCAGTATCTTTGATTCATTCAAATAATACTATCACAACAAGTATAAGTGGGTTTCAAAAAGCTCAGCAGTTGCCCACAAGTATATTAGGTCACACCTTACTTCAACCCACCAGGCAGATCAATACTAGTAACATATCCTTCAGTTCTCACAATATTAGCTCCAGTCAGCCACCTGCTTTAGTAATGACGTCGAGAGCAGTAATGAGTAGTAATAAAGAACCAGCCCCGAACGTCACTGTGCGAATGCCACAAATGCAAATAAAGTCTAATCAACCTCCTGGCTCGATAAATTTTATAACATCATCAAAATTGTTACATACTCAATTAACGTCCCCATTAAAAAGATCGAAGTCTACCGATGAGCCTAAAACCGAAGTTATAGTCGGTCACATACAGCCTACAAAGAGGCACAGCGTCGAAGCCGTAACAGTTAAATCAGAACCTATGGAAACAGATGAACCAAATGCAACACCGAATACAAATGACAACGCGGCAAGTAAAAATACTGGCGTTGGAAATCAAAGAAATGACGAGTCACAAAATGTTCTTTTGAAGCAACTTTTACAGACGACGACTACAGCGGCGGCTGTGGTTCCCCAGCGGACAATGACAATACAAAGGACGGCGCCCGCTTTGGGCACAATTTCCTCTTTAGAGGCTCAGCTAGCCAGACCCTCGATACCACCTCCAACTTTAGCTTTAACACAAGAAGTAGAAATACCAAATAATTCTCCCAGACATTTGACTACGGTCAGTTCCAGTTTTAATAATCGCCCGACACAAAACTCAATTCCTACATCATCCATTTCACCAATGAGTCAGACATCGACACAGTCGTTAATGGATGTGAGAAAACAACCAATAAAAATTATGTACAAAGAAGAAACAACACCAGTCCCAGAAAGTTCGCCTACTATCAAATCGACGCCAATGTATTCGATGAATTTAGAAAATCAACAAATTAACTCGACAATCAAAAAAGAGGTGGCACCACCTCAGCAGAGTCCAGTACACAGGCCATTTACACCTATGGATGTTAAAAAAGAATTGTTGGATGAAAGTTCTCAACAATCCGCTACATCCGGTATCTCGACTGCATCCGATCAAGGAAAATTAGATCAACCAATGAAAGAAGAATACCCTGAAAGTGTGACTATGGACTCGACTTCAGAAATTAACACTCCGGAAACCGCCACCGAAGCAAAAAAACGTAAGCGACGAGAATATCAGCAAAAGAAGCGCAAACAAATGCAAATGAATATGAAAGCCGCCGCCGAAAGTAACTTAAGCTCAGTTAACGCTAAGAAAAGACCGCGTAAAGGTTCCAGATACGAGGAAGACTATGACACGTTCATAGACAATTTAATGACTCAATTACGACTTTTACCGCCTATGCAAATTCAAGAACCTACGCTTGGAGTTAATTATTCAGTTTGTCCATTGTTTGGTTCCGGTGATTTAACTAAACTAAAAAGTAAAGATTATGACATTTTAAAAGGTGATCTCACCGGGGAGTTTGGTAATGCTAAAATACCAAACGTCGCAGATTATTATAATACAAAACCATTTGGCGATGAAGAACCGATACCAGAAAAACAAGCGACTTCTACTCAGCGAGGTTTCTATGACCAAGAATTCCCACCGATAATATTCGACGAAGATCCCGAAGATAAGAAACTAGACTTTATTTGCAAAGAAAGAGATACAGACACACCTGATAGCATCATCAGCTGCTCAAGCCCAGAAGGATTTGAGATCGAGCCCTCAGACCGATTCCCGGGACTAAGGTTCATCGACGACGAGGATGATGAGGACGATAGCGATACACCGTCAGGAAAAATATCTCCAATAATACCTCTGATTGCTCCCATACCGATACGTATGAAGCCGTTGTCTTTGTTTCAAGTCAAAGACGAAGATGAATGTCAAAAATCAATTAAAAGCGTCGACACCAATTCACCGCTTAAAACTAAAATTGATGATTCTCCGGGAAGCACAGAAAGTAATGAAAATGTTACTGTCACGCTTACACTCACCTCGGGAGCGGCTGAAGATATTCTCGGCGTATTGAAAGAGCTCGCCGGTATTCTTCACATACCGCCTCCTACGTCATACCAAATAATTGAAAGGACGGCGACGCCGCCTTCTCATAAACTGGGATTATATAGATCAAAAGGAAAAGACGGCAAAGAAGGAACACCAATAGACATTCAAAGTATATTAAACGGAGCAGCGAAATTCTGTCGGCACTGTGACGTTGTTATATTGGATTCTGTCGTCCGCGCAAAGGCCTCCGAATTCCCTCTACTTTCGGCTAACAAAGGGAACGCGGAGGAAATTCTTTGCGACAGTGATTCTGAACTTTATTTTTGTAGTACCCAATGCTACGAGAGATTCGCTTGGCGACCTACCAACATTATTCTCGATGGCAAGTCGAAAGTTGCCATTAAAGATGACAATAAGTCTGAAATCGAAAACAACTTGTCAAAGGACAGGGACGACTTCGACACGGCATCGACTGAGAGCATGGAAACGGATGATTTAGACATAAAACCCGACATAAAAGATGAAAAGATGGATTTGTCATTTATCGATTCATTAGATAATGATGAGCTAATGAAGGAAGTTGGTGACGACGTGAGCGCTCTAGACGAAGATCTGAAGAGCGTAGAGCAAGACGATAAAAGTAATCAAAGCGTGGAAAGAGAGAAATATAGGGGCATCCGCTATAAGGCTTGGTCGCCGGGCTGCATTGGACCACCGGTTAAATACAAACGTCCCACAGACAGGGAACTAACGGAACTGGTGTTTAGAACGGGCGTGGCGATAATGCCGGTGACGAACGAGGACACCCGTAAATGCGAGCTGTGCGGCATCCAGGGTGACGGGGTGGGCGACGGCGTGTCGCGGCTACTCAACTGTGACGTGGACCGCTGGGTGCACCTCAACTGCGCGCTGTGGTCGGCCGGCGTGTACGAGACTGTGAGCGGCGCACTCATGAACGTGGACGGTGCGCTGGCGGCCGGCATGAGCGCCACCTGCGCCGCGTGCCGCCGCCTCGGCGCCACCGTACGCTGCTTCAAGGTGCGCTGCGGCAGTGTCTACCATCTCGGCTGCGCCGTCAAGGAAAACTGCGTCTTCTACAAGAATAAAACGGCCTTCTGCGCCTCACACGCTCCTAAGGTAAATACCCTACGTACACAATTTTATTGATATTGAAGAATTGTGTGGACTAAAAAACTAAAAAACAATCTTATACCGACAATGTTTAATATGTTTTGTTTGTGCATTGCCGAGCAGAACGAGAAAGATAACGAGCTGACGACGTTGAGCGTGCAGCGCCGCGTATACGTGTCGCGCGACGAGCAGCGGCAGGTTGCATCGGTGATGTTGCACTCGGACGCCAATCATCTCATACGTGTCGGCGGCCTCATCTTCCTCAGCCCTGGGCACCTGCTGCCGCACCAACTGCCCGCCTTCCACACGCCCAACTACATATACCCCATCGGATACAAGATCGTTAGTTGTTTAAATAGTTTTGGGTGCTAGTAAACTACAATTTTCCTGCAAAAACAAACAATCTTTTTCATTTAAGGTAATCAATACTATCTAACACATCATTGCTTATCTATTTCCACTTGATTCGTAGGTACGGTTCTACTGGTCGATGTCCCGCGCCAACAGCCGCTGCCGGTACCTTTGCTGGATCTCCGAGGAGGAGGGGCGGCCGCGCTTCCACGTGCGCGCGCAGGACGAGTCGCGCCGGGAGATGTGCGCTGCCACACCTCGTGCTGCCTGGGCTGCTGTTAGTACACTGATGTCTCCTTACATAACAACGACAAACACACACACACACACATATGCTATACTCCTTATATATAGATGTAGTACCAATGTTGCCACAACTTATAAATTTATTTGAATATTAGGTATTAGACGCAGTGGCGGCGCTGCGAGAGAACCGCGACGAGGAGGGCGTATTGAAGCTGTGGCCCAACTACGTGACCGGGGAGGATCTGTTCGGCCTCACCGAGCCCGCCGTTGTGCGCGTGCTCGAGAGTCTGCCCGGTCAGTTACTAATATGTTAACAATCCCCTTTTTTGTCTTCCTATACATATTACAAAAACTGCAGACTTCTAACATGTTGCGACAAATATTTCAATTGTGATTCAAGAAAGGTTTACTTGGTGGAAAATGGTAGTAGAAGTTATAGGTATGGTGTGACAAGATTGTATGTATTTATGGTTTGTGCTATTTACATATTTAAAAAGAAAAAAAATGAAATCTACAATTCAGAACAATTTTTAGGATAATGAATTTAAAGGTGTCATAATCTAGTTTTTAGTGACGACCATAATTAGGTACATTATTAATAAAGAATATTTCAATTTACGTAGGCAAAAACTGATGAGATGAAAGCAAGTGCAACATAACATCACCTTATTATCGACCTGCTATTGTTCAAACGGTCAACTTCGCGCCGCCTCGACAATCCTGACTGAGCAAAAAGTATAAGAATATATCAACTTTATCTTTGCAAGTTATTGACGGCATACACTGCTCTATACGAATAAACAAGACACTATTATTACTATGTTAGTATATTGCAAACAATGCGACTACGAATTTCAAGTTTCAAAAACCATGTGTATCTACAAAATCAAAAATTATGTTCGTTTATTGATAGTGTATTTGACAATAATTGTTGTTAATCCCCAATGTCGTCCAGGTACAAAGAAAACAAGACTAATGTGTGTGTGTTCCAGGTATCGAAACACTATCAGACTACCGGTTCAAGTTCGGGCGCAGCGCGCTGCTGGAGGGCGGGCTGGCGGTGAACCCCTCGGGGTGTGCGCGGTGCGAGGCGCGCGGCCGCTGCACGTGGCGGCGCGCCGGCCCGTCCCGCGCGCCCCGCCCACACGCCCCGCCCGCCACGCCCCCGCCCGACAGCCCCGCCTGCCCCTACACCAAGCAGTTCGTGCACACCAAGAGCTCGCAGTACAAGAAGATGAAGCTCGAGTGGCGCAACAACGTATACCTCGCCAGGTTAGTCCACACATGTCCACTTCTCTAAATAACCATCTCATAATCGTGCAGATGATTTCGTTTTGAACTTTGTTTGATAAAGTACGTGTGTACACAAAAATATTTTTTAAGACTCAAATCACATGATATATTTTTTAAGCTACTGTTTTTGCAGGTCTAAAATCCAGGGTTTGGGTCTGTACGCCGCTCGGGACTTGGAGAAGCACACTATGGTCATCGAATATATCGGAGAGATTATCCGATCAGAGTTGTCTGAAATACGCGAAAAGAAATACGAGGCCAAGGTAACTATCGTTATGATGACCTGTTTGTTTTTAAATTTTTATATGTGTGTTTTAAATTATTATAGCATTCTATCCATCTTACTTCCTCCTGACAAAAATTTAAATAGATAATTTTTAATCAATATTTCAAGTTTAATGTTGTATGTATGTGCATACTTTGTGTATATAGAACCGCGGCATCTACATGTTCCGACTGGACGAGCGGCGCGTGGTGGACGCGACGCTGAGTGGTGGACTGGCGCGTTACATCAACCACTCGTGTCAGCCCAACTGTGTCGCCGAGACAGTCGAGCTCGACAGGCATCTGCGCATCATCATCTTTGCCAAGCGACGCATCGCGCGCGGAGAGGAGGTAAACAACTGATTTGTCACTAAACCTACAATACTTGAGATATCTAATGGCTCTTCTGGGAAAAAGGGGCTAAATGAATCTTCTGGGGGTTTCGTATTAAGGATTGTAAGTCCTTTCATTCCCTGCAATTTTGCCATTTGCACAATTGAAGAATACGTACAACTCTCATTATGTGTATATATATAAATATTATTTGTTTGCACAGCTCGCGTACGACTACAAGTTTGACATTGAAGATGACGCGCACAAGATAATGTGCATGTGTGGCGCCCCCAATTGCCGCAAGTGGATGAACTAGTGCCCCCAACTGCGGCAAGCGGAGAAACTTGTGCCCCTACACCCAATGACCGTCATCCCACACGTCGCAGTCGACACAGTGAGCAGTCACCCCTTCTACCCCTAGTTAAGGCTATGAATTTAGTTTTATGTACCAAAGTGAGTTTACACCGTGTTATAGAGCTATATATAAAACATATGTAATGGATTCAAGCTGACATGTGATGTAACGTTATCAATAAGACAATATCTACAGAGTTTTACACATATTTTGGTTTGTAATTTTGTAACTCAATTTAGAATGATATGAAAATGAAACATTTTGTACATAGTGAGTTGTAAGTGATGTATAAATCATTGTTGTTACATTTTTGATGTGAACCTGTTTCTTTCGAATGTACGTAGAATTTATAATTTCTTAATTATAATATTTCATGCAATCTATAATAGATATATTTTCGAAAACATTTAATTTTTATTGACATTTTTTGAAGTTCATTATTGAATTATTTATTATAGTAGAGATTTAAGTAATTTTCTTTTGAATTAAGCAACTTATATGTAATTAGTTATAGGTAAGAGATGTATTTTTTATTCGATCGTTTGGAAGGTAATGGATAATCTCAATGGAGGGTATGTTGGTTGTCGGTCGATTAGGTTAAGTTAGCAAATAGAAGAGTGCATTTAGTTTGCGTGTTAGAGCAGCGGGAGAGTTGCGTAGGAGTTAGGTGATGCCACATTGTGCCTGACCCGTTTTGTACGTCTATATTACATAGGTTAATGATACTGCGGAACACCACACGTCGCCTTAGTCCACATATTGTATATCGATAAAGTTTCACTGCACATCATATCTATAAAGTCAATAAAACAAATTAAATTAAATTAAAAACAAAATTGTGATCAATCAATAACTAATTCATATATTTATAATACAAAAAAAATGTAGTAAAATTGTTTCGTTTGTTGTAATTAAATAAATGTTTTTTTTTACTTAATATTCAATGAATACATTTTATTATATTATTTTGATGTGCAGTTAAATATTATCCAAATGTATTTAAGCTATTGTATACAAGCTTTACCTTTGCGGGCGCGCACGAATTCACGGCGGATATCGGAGTACTCTTACTGGGCGTTTTCACTGCACACACATGTGCATATTGTGACACCACATGTTTAGTACAGACGACAGTGCAGTGGAAACGCACAGTAACTGTATATTAAATTGTACATACATATATGTATAGGTTTGAACAGGGTTTAGGCCATATTAGTTTTCAATATCGTCGGCCATTTGGTCAATGCAACACTGCGCGCCGACCGCTGTCGAATATTACCTATTTCTAAGTTCCTAGATATTTTAGTATGCAGTTTGCGATGGACGACACAAAACATATGGTTTAATATTAAATTTTATGAATACAATCATTTTACAATTTTGATGCATTAAAATATTAAGTTTTAATGGAGATTATTCTAAATATAAAATTAATATTTGTGAAATGCGTAACTCTTGATATTTTCAGTTTATTAAATTGAGAAGAAAAACATACGTAGTTAATATTTTTTCGGTTTACATTTAATTTCATATTAAAAAGTAATAAGCGTCCTCGCAAACATTTCCCACACACGACGGTGACTTGGTTGCTAAGCGCCGACATGCATAGTTTGAATAAGCCGTTAGAATTCGTGCGTGTAATGTAGTTAGTATAATTTTTATAATAACGTTTGTAGGATGTAGAGTGACCCGTGACTTAGGAAGGGCTAAGGGCTACTCTTCGAGCTTAGATGGTGTGAACAGTAGGCGTAATAGAAATAAAAACATACGTACTCTTTTTCGTTTGTAGAACAGTATTTTTCAACTTTAAAGCAATATTCAATGTTTTCTAAAGTTTTTTTTATTACTTTTTATGAAACAAACGTTTTTGAAATACGTTCTTTGTAAGTAACTTTAACTAATTTCGTTTCATTTTAGTACAAAAGTACTAAGTCACAACTAATTTAAGATGAATTAGTGATTTTTCACCATTGAGTAAAAAATACTGTTGTAAAGTATTTGATTGAAAAAAAATGTAGTTAAACTTTATACAGCGTAGACATCGTAAAATCATGTAATTCTTATTTAGTTTTTTTTTTATATTAAGAATCTAACAGGAATTGAAAAAAGGTTAATTTTACTTGTGGGTTGGGTGTGTATGCGGAAATGCAGTTATCGTTAAAGAGTGACATGAAATATAATTGATTTACATATTGTAATCGAATATCCTTTATATTTCTGTAAATTGTAATAAATTGAAATCTCTTCATCATATCATTTCTTTATACGAATTTTATAACAAATTAAACAAATATAAAATATTACATCTACTGTTTGTGTCTTTGTCGGGCGTAGTTTGAAAGTGGCCATCGGTTTCGATAGAATACAGGTGTTCGGATTCACGTGTAAAGTTTAAATTATTTTAGAGCAAGAAAACGGCGGCCTTCCGTTACCTCGGCATATCCGGACATCCTGTATATCATGCAATCTAATTTTAAGTGTTAAAATGTGCAATATCATATCTCGATTTCATATTGTAAATAAATGTAAAAGATCGATACGACATCAAGAATCGTGTTTAAGTTTTATATAAACAAAATAAAATGTTTTTATGAATGATATTGCATCGCTTCACCATCAAATTATTTATTTAAAGCATTCCCATATTTTTTTACATTAATCAACATTGTTTTTTTTTATTTGAGAAGTTTGTGTATTTGTAAAATTATGTATTTCTTAAGAAATATTCTATACTAAATATTTTTATCACATTATTTTCCTGTCATTAAACTTTTAATTAGATATAATTTTTTGTCTTTAATTTATACCTATTAAATATCATTTGAGGGCGGTGATTTGCGCTAAATGGAGGTCCGTGGTTATAGGTATATAGGTTGTGAATCGTGTCATCGTCATCAACTCACTACATGTCCCCGCTGAGGAGCTCGGAGCCTACCTTAAGTTAGAGGTTACAAGGCCATGGTTAAGTTTATTTATTTAAAATTGCATAGCAGTTAGTTGACTTCATTTGGTTTGCATTTGTGTAATAAGTTATAAATAAAACACGCTATCGTTTTGTATAAATTTTTATTACAAACTTTATTTTTTTTACTTAACTGCAAATAATATAATCGAAGAACATCCTAAATAAAGCTGGAGGGCCAACGTATGTTGAACTCAACAGTGCGGTAGAAATGGCTTGTCGCAACAATTGTCTTCCAATATACAACATTATACTAACGTATTCAAACAATTCGATATGCGCCATTTTATTTTGAATTCATTAAACTATTACATTACAAATAAACGTGTTATTACAACTTTGCTGATATTTTCACGATTAAAAACATTTCTCCAACAGCTTGCCCGATTTGAGGAAGGTGACATTCGTTAAGCATTCTTCCCTTTGCCGTGTGTTTCTGAGTTGAAAATTCCGTTTAAAACATATTTTTATCTTTGTCAAAGATAATGACAGGGATTGACGATGTTTTATACAGAGATTTTAGTCTCGGAAACCAACAATGAGTGTCACAGGTACAGAGTCAAGGAAATCGATTTTATGATTTGATTAATTAAACTAAAAAATGCTAGAATGAAGGAAGTACTCAATAACTTTATATTGTTGACAAATTGACGAGCCATTTCCTTTTAGAAATGTATAATGTACTTGCTGACAATAAAACAAACAATTGAAAATTTTTATAAAAATATACCAGATGTCGCTTTTACAATTATACAATAGAATGAGCTATATGATGGGTCAAATATTATTTCTCAATAAAGTTGGAATGAAATAAATAAGAACTGCAAATAATATTTATAAAATAATATGTCTTCTTGTATATGTTTACACAATGCACTTATATCTTGGCCGAACTGACTTCTTTGTAATGTCAATAAATATTTGAAACTAACAGACAAAGTCAGCTTTGGAGACAGAAATTCTTTTTATAACGGCCATGGAGTTGCACCTTTACCTTGATTGCAAACAAAAATTAAAAATTCATAATATTAATGAAGGAATAACATTCCTTTTATTTGTGGAGTTGCGTAACCCAATGGGTTATAGTTCTAAATGAGGTTCCCAATTTCTTGATATTCATAATAAAACTAATCTTTACAACATGATAACAAGTATCTTTTTATGGATTGACATTTAATATTTTGCATTTTATCTTTCTTTACAATAAATGTAATAAATGTGTGTCCCAAAGGTCTAATTTAGTCCTCTTTCCCTTACCACCCTTTTTCTTATAAGGAAAGGATGAGAAGTGGAAGTGGACTTTCCGGATGAGAGGATGCATGGTAAGGAAAAATATTTTCATTCTGTGCATCCTTTCCTCCGAAGCATATGCAATTGCGTATGTCTATGGGCAACAGGTCACTTCGCTATTTCAGCGATTTCAGGTGGCCGCTCGCTCGTTTGCCACCTTGTAATATAAAAAGAAGTATTGGTTTAAGTTGTAATTTAATATTGTATCGGAACCTCAAATTAACCATTAGCTTAAACTATTCGCAGTGGATGTTGTTAAACTGCTTTTATACGTCGCTATCTAGTAATGCTCAGGTCTCAACAAGCTCCATTTTATGACATTTGTACTGTTCCTAAGTACATAACAAAACTAGATATATAAGTATTCTATGTAAACAAATGTTTATTACATAAGTACAAATACTTTACAAACAACGCTTAGAATAGACGTGGCAATTACAATTATTGTCTCTTCTGCCTAATTTTGACGGCTTTATGAGATGTCAATTTGCGTGATATTTTGTACTTTGAATTTCAAAACACTTAGAATGGTATTCCACGGCCGAATAAAGAACAAGCATATTACATATTTATTTATATTTTAGAACAACATGACTTATGATTTATGCTTGAAAAATTATTGTAGATATGTGGCAGCTGAATACTAACATATATAGGGGAGCCTCTTAAGACAACGCATTACTAGTAAGCGAACGCTAGGCTGCTTACAAACGGGCGCGTTCGCTACCATTTCTTAAACGTAGCCGATCCTTAACATGCTAGTAAAAGAAATATAACAAAATATTACGTTTTTACTTAAATAAACTGTGTCATACATAGATGGAATATTTTACAAGACATTGTAAATATCTTCAGATTTATGTATAGTTAAATTAGAAGGACTTTCAAAGCAAAATTTAAAATACGAAGACGGCTACGTCGGGAGTTGAATGATAAAAAGCATACGATTATAAGCGAGCCGCGTGTTGTGTGTGCGGGCTGTGTTCAGTCGATGTACTGCGCGAGCCAGCGGAAGCCCTCGCCGTAGCCCTGCCGCTTCAGCACCGAGCACATGAACAGCTCCAACGGCCGCCCCGGCAGCTCCGACCGCGATACCTTGCCCTGCAACACATCATTTATGATTCAAATACCCATAATCTCTGATCTCCTGGCCAGTGGAATAGATCAAGCATAAAGCAGCATGTATGTATGTACCTTGCCGGTGGTCTGTTGGTAAAGGTTGAAGAATTGTCTAAGTTCGTCTTCGCTGGCTGCGCCTGGTTTGTCGATCTTGTTGCCGAGGATTAGGACGGGGCAGTTGCTGAGTGTGTCGTCAGTGAGCAGAGAATCAAGCTCAGTCTTCGACTCGGGAAGGCGTGCGCGGTCGCACGCGTCCACCAGGAACACGATGGCGTCCACCGCCGGGAAGTAGTCGCGCCACACGCGGCGCGCCTGTTGATGCCCGCCCAAGTCAAATGTCGTAAACCGCATGCTGCCTATCGACAGCTCCTCCGATGCTGAACACACAACACATATATTAGTCACTTTCAAATACTCAGCCTGATTTTTGAGACTGTAAAGAAGTAGCATTAGTGGGAAATATTACATAAATAAATTGCTCATCTATGTAATTTTCTAGAAAAATAGATACCATGATATTAAAATTATATTTATTACAAAACTACTTCTGTAGTTGTATATTTTAATACATAATAATTATGATTACAAGCAATGTTATGTAAATGTGCAAAAGATTTATATCCTTTTTTATTAATTTTACAATTTTCATCATAAATTTCTTGTCTTCATAATTTATATGGCACTTCAACAATAATGACAGGCAACATAAATTGGAAAGTCAATGCCTGCATTTCCAATAAATAATAAAGAGTTTATATGACAAGTATATCTGTTTATACTTAGCTTTTATAAAAATAATAATTTGTACATCTTGTATGCCTTGAGTGAGTAAAAATATAATGTTAATTTATCTTAGTAATCTCTTTACCACATAAAACTTTTTATCCAAAATGTAACTTCTTACATTAAGTATTAGGATACAACTCTAAATGTTTGATGCAACTACAATTTTTTAATTCTTCATTACATACTTCTTAAATTAGTGGTGTTTTATTTATCATTTACTCACTGGGATGAAGTGTGGGCACATGCTGTGCCAATCTGTCATCCTTCAGCATGTGCAGGAGTGTTGTTTTACCCGCATTGTCTAGACCCAGGAACAGTAATTTGCCTGATTTCTTCCACAATCCTGTTCAACAAATAGAAATGCCATTAAATCTACTAATTTGTTAATTATAAATAACATTTATCTAATTTAATATTTTCAAACCAATTAGGTAATGTGCTTAAAGAATCCAAGCATAGATTAAATTAAATGAACAATAACTAATTTCACTAAATGCAAAGTATTTTCAAAAGAAAAATAAGTATAATAGTTTTAAATGCCTTTAAAATTGTTGTAAAAAGAAAGCAGATTCTCAATTTGACTGTATATTTTTGTAACAATCACAAAAGAAACATCTAAAACACTTGTAAATCTAAATTTCTTCCTTCTGTAATGTTCCTAATAACAATTAGATAATTTTGCAAAAAACTATTCTTATCAAAGCATATAAATTAAACATAATCTGTTGTATTAAGGTCAAAGTTTTTTCATTTGAATTTCAATGAAGTGATGATATGTGTAGAAATTGAAATTAAAATGATGTAATATACTTCTTTATAACTTATGGGACAAAAACATTTTTAAACTTAGTATATATTGGTTAAATCTCTGAAAGTAGAGAAAATGTAGACATTTCTGCTCATAACACAACTTACCCAAAAATCCTAGGACACCAGTGAACCAATCCAAGATAAACATTTTTAATCTGGAATTAGGAAATAGTATTAATTTCAGCACATCTCTTCAACTTTTCCACAAAGACTGAATAAAAAGTGATGACTTGCAAATATGCATGTTATCTGCTGCGTAGTTTAATTTGGCATCACTGTAACACGATGATAAATCATTGAAGAAGGCACACAAGTTCAAGTTTCTTCAAGGTGCTGTGGAAATATTCTTTTGTGAATTGAGTAATATGACAGGACGTCATTTGCGTTGTCGAAATTGAACCAAATATTACACAAAAACAAATGAAATACTCACTTATTAAAATTGAACTAGAATTACTAACAATAAAGGAAATTATCACAATAATTCGCACGTTTTTTATCACGTTTCGTCGTTAAAATTGACGATTTTTACTATGAAGAGCTAAACTATGCGAAGAAATATCAATCTGTTGGCAATGAATGACGTACGCTACTTCCGGAAGTTGTCACATTGATATGGTTGCCACCTTTCAAAATTTTATAATATAAAATTAGAAATAATATCATGTACTCCCTAATTAATGTAGAAGAATAAATTTAAATAGTAGACTTTGATGTTCGCTACTTTCCAATAAAATTCCAACAGAAATTTTATTCTAGGCACTTATCTGTTGGTATTCATTATGTAAAGTACAACACACCACAACTTGTGTGGTGATTTAATATTTCAATTCGAGATTAAAGGGGATTCAAAAACTATACAAGAACAACGTATAGAAGGATCTAAAGAAGTAAACTAACAAAATAAAAGAATCATTCACATGTTTTTGAGTACTAATTTCTTTTTGTACTCTATGTTTAAACCTTTTTATTACTTAAATTTTTCTTAATGGCAAACTTAATTTGACATTTAACACTATTATTGTAATGCTGGAAACACTGGCATCCGGGAGTCTTTTTAGTGTTTGACAGCTTTTAAAGCTAAAGGTATTTTCAAGTTTTCGTTTAAATATGTTAAGAATTAAGTGATTTTAAACAGGAATAAGAAGTCTGATTTATAGACCAGTATTATATTATTATATATACAATGTTTCATAGGAAATAGTGCAATGATTACTGAGATTATTTGAGGTTGTAAATCGGTGCTGCAAAGTGTTGTCATTTTCAGGATAAGCCATGGCTCCAAGGAAAAACAAAGTTGCTAAAGAGGAGGTCCAGGTTACTCTGGGACCGCAGCATTTGGTGGGTGAAACCGTGTTCGGCGTAGCTCATATTTTCGCATCATTCAACGACACATTCGTCCATGTCACTGACTTGTCTGGTCGGGAAACTATTGCCAGAGTCACAGGTGGTATGAAAGTAAAAGCTGATCGTGATGAAGCTTCACCGTACGCCGCTATGTTGGCTGCACAGGTTTGTACAAATAATTATTTTGATATTACTTTGCGTGATCTATAACCTCTTTTGCACATTGTTTATTATTGAAATTGACTATCGTAGGAGTTACTCTGCTCTCTACTTAATTATTTAGGAAATCTTGTTTATTTTACTTAACTAAACACGATATAGTTATCGAAGAACTAAACCTAATGTTCAAAATTTTGCAAGCAAATGACACTTTGTTTCGAAGTTTACAAGTAGAATACTCGTTCTATTCCTTAATATAGAGATAATCGAATGCAATAATCATGAATAAGTTTTTAATGACAGCATATACATAATTGACTAGCTTTATATGTTTTATTTATTTTGCTAGTTGTAATGAGCAACCTAATATATTAATAAAGTTTTGGTGGGACTCTAAAATAATGTTAATACAATTGTGAATTTAAGACACATGTAAAATGTGTGAACACTATTTGTCTTTTTTTTTTCAAGTAATGATAGAGGGATTTAATATTGTCTTTTCTTACTTATACAAGAGATTGACTGTGGGGATTAATTATATTTTTCAGATGATAAATAAAAAAACTTAATGAAATTTGTTTTGTCACATTTATGTGCATTCAATGACAATAATTACTTATAAAATGGCTCACTACTTAGTCATATTATAAATTAATCTATTAAAATGTTTCTAATTAACTTTTATATAATTTCTAGGATGTTGCTGAAAAATGCAAAACCCTTGGAATCACAGCTTTGCACATCAAGCTTCGTGCGACAGGTGGAAACAAGACAAAGACCCCAGGGCCTGGTGCACAGTCAGCTCTGAGAGCGTTAGCCCGCTCCAGCATGAAGATTGGCCGCATTGAGGATGTTACACCAGTGCCGTCAGACTCTACGCGCAGGAAGGGTGGTCGTAGAGGACGCAGGCTGTAATTTTTTAGTTTAAGGCAACTGTGGACTACAATAAATTTGTTTACAGTTTTTAAGTATTTTATTTTTTGTGATGAGAGAGCTTTGGAGCAATCTCCAGATAATGCCTAAATTCTGTGAGTATATTGTAAACCACACACAAGATACCACTTCGAATGGGTTACTGTATCTAAGATAATTAGAATCAATTGCCATCAAAATCGTATTTAATTTAAATCCAGACACTAAATTGCACTTTTATGACAATAAATAAAACAATAATATTGTGAAACATTGGATTGTTATTTTTATATTTTATTAATGACAGATTCAATACCGATAAACAAATTGTTAACTACTAAATACTATGTCCCCACAATGACAAAAACTGTTCCAACTAAAATTTGTAGTACATAACTTTTAAAACAATATTAAATTGTTTTGTCTACATCTAACATTATTGCACATGTTTGTGTTGACGTTATTAAAACATCTATAGAAAATTAATATAAATTAATCTATCATAAAAATCTGATCTACCGAAATTGGAGTGATTGCTTTGATATATATTTATACTGAGAATTTTTACCAAAACATCGCATCACGTTTTGGTAGTAGAAAGTTAGTCGATAAATAATATTGAAACTTTAGATTCTATATTACAGGGGTGGCCAAACAGTGGATCGCGATTAGTCCAGTATATGATAGTAAGGCAAAACAAATGGTCAGACACAATACCCACACTAATATAAATAGGTATTGATTAAGAATAATTAATTAATAAAAAATACTACACAATTGTGTACTGAATCTTTTCATTTAAGATTCTACGAAGTTTGTAATTGTTAGATCGCCAAAAGTTCCGTCAATAAACTAAAAATCTAATAAAGTTGACCACCCCTGTTATATTAAGTTTTATCTATAAATATTTTTACATACAGGTAAAGATTTTGTGACCTAAAATTTGTAAGCGCTCCTTATGACAATAATGTCAAGATAATTTGATGAGATCAATAGATAGATATCAAACATTGCTCCTTGAGCGCACTAGCCTATTCCTCTAGGTACACTACAATTTACAACATTTATAATTAATTATAATATTTCTTTACAAACCTAAAAGCTGTTACATAAAATTTTTAAATAAACATCTCCAAATTACCTTGTTTGTGATAAATGATACATTTTCATATAATTAATATTCAGATTCCTAAAAGATAAACTAATACGATCTAAATTATCGGCATTATATTGATATACATATAAGTCACTATGCACTAATATTAGTAAGAAGCGTTTTATATAATACTATCTACATGAATCACAAAAATATATTAATTTTTTTTTTAAATATGGCAAGTATCGAAAAACCACGAAGTTTTAACCCCTAACGTCGTGAAAGTATAAAAATAAACTAATTTAACATAATTCAAAATACAAATAGTAAACAACACGTCTTTTGCAAAGAGAAAAACCAATTAGCTGCCTTAAGCATAAAAACAGTCTCAATATGTCAAAGTTTTTTTTGTAAGATTCATTAAATGTAAACGTTTTTTATTTTCTTTACATTACATACATTATTATAAGCGTTTTAATATGAAATTACCAAACACATGGTGTATCGCGCGCAGACAACATTCTTTTCAATATATTTTTACAAGTGAACAACATTTACTTAACGTACTCTACAAGTCTGTCTCCATTTGTTTAACTCGCGATACTCACAAACCTTCTTGTGAAACTATTCGCATGGGTCGG